CTAAAACAGCGGAATAATAATAATAACCAAAGCAATTACAATAGGGTTTCGCCCCATTGGGCTAAAAACCATAATGATGCTTAGTTACACAGGAAAGCTTGCTGAAACATTAGTTTAGAGTTTTATTTTGAAGGTGTTCACATTTGGAGCAGAAATGATGTCATTTGGTGCATGGTTCCAAAATGAAGATAAGGAATGAACAAATGACCATAATTCTACAAGTGTGAAATTTTTTTTTTTTGCTTTTTATTATCCAAACAGTCTTGGCTATAGACTGTTAAATTGTAGAATTGTGAATAGTGGAACATACTCAAAAAATGATTTTAAAATATAGATAACAGGTGCAAACATTCTCCTATTTGAATGCTTAGCAAGATTTAGCAAGGCCGTACATGGTGAAAAAAAGAAATGACGGGATCTCCATATTATGCACTATATTTAACTTTTAACAAAACGATAATACATTTAAATTTGGAACTGTTACAGCCATTTTAATTATGAGCATTACCAAACTTTTTACTGAATGAATTGTTATGCAAATTAGCAATTATCTAAGCTTCAAGTTATCCAGAGGACTACAAGTTGACTGGTATTATAATGGCTATTATACTTACCAACACCTCGTCTTGAGTTTTCCATGACATCAACCCCAAACTGAACGATATCCGCAGAATTAACCTCCCTGGCGGGACTCTCTTCAGATCCTTTACTAAGCCGTTGGTTATTAATAAATGTTCCATTACTACTCTTTGTGTCTTGTAAGTAGAACTGTAATACAATAATAAATGATAATGTAGGGGTAGGAAAAATCCCAGCAAATGGTGGTGGAGATCATAGCATAGGGCAGGGACTTGTTTTTAACAATACATGGGGATATCATATCACACTTATATGCTGATATAATAAATTTGGTTTTATTCACTGTAAGTACATCTGACAACAGAACCTTGTTTTCATGAGCAACAAATCTTGGGTTTCAAGCTACTACATTCTAAATATGTTGCATTGTATCATTATAGTAGAAGCGATGGTTTCTAATACAGATTTTAAAGTACAATTACCAGTATCAGTAGCTGATTGCAGACCCTTCAAAACGAGGATGGGGTGTAAGTAATATAGATATGCAGTATTTGGGACAAGTCAAAAACACTGATGTTACCAATAACCCATTAGTAATTACATTTGCCCTTGTCATACATATACATGTACCTGTAGCAAATACTATGGTGATTCAGTAATCTCTTTCTTTGACATTAAAATTAATTTCACTCATCATACAGTCTGAGTGTATATGGTTGTCTGATCTTGAAGGAAATCTATAAATGCATGCCAGAAATCCCAGAAGTTTTTACTTTTTTAACAAGATGGTTGCTAGTCCGCCATTTTGAGAATCCTAGCAAAACGTGTGTGCTATATTGAGTTTCAGCAGAGTTAGACTGTTTTTTTTTAGACAATTCTATCAAATGATCCAGGACAATTGAACAAAGACACAACAAATTACATCATGTTGTTTATAATTTGTTAAAATGAACGAGATCACAATCAGATTCATTACCAATGATGTATACATAATACTAAAAATGTAGTAGTGTATACCGGTACATAGTGAACACAGTATTACATACTCTTCGCTTGATGCCAATGAACAAGACTGCTTGAAGCACAACACAATGTTCAGCACAGTATTTAAATAGTGAAGACGTGAGTATTAATATCAGTTTTAAACACTGAAAATTGCATACCAACAAATGTCAACTACTACATACTGTATACATATTACAACATACTTATGTAAGTTTACTTCTACATTCTTACAAAATACAGAAGTTATTATACACATTATATGCCAGGTTGCCAGTATATCATTCAATGTGACCCTATGGCCTTAGAAATACAAAATGTAGGTCATGAATATTTATCTGGGGTTTAGAGTACATGTACCATAAATTTGAATATTAACATACGAATGAAGTGACCATGACACAATGTCTGCCTAGACCATCATAAACATAAATCAGCTAAAGAGAGATATTTTTGGATTAAACAAAATAGAGTATATATAGATTGATTGCTGTGCAAGGCTACCCCGGTAGATACAACAAGTGAACAATAACATGTGAAATGGCTTTCAAGTTAATAGTGTATGTAGATTGTCAATTACAAAAATATTCACTATGAATAATGAATTCAAGGCATTGTCACAAAATGAACAAATCTGAGAGCTGTCCGTCCACTTAGGATACATTGTCAACAAGACACTGCAGGCCATATTGGTCCATACTGTTAAACTGAACCATTTAGTGACAATTCAAAATGTACAACTTATATTTGCTGAAAAGAGGAAGTAAGTAAATTTCCACTTTATCATAAAAAGATGTAAGAATGCATGTAAAATCTAGGTATGGTCTGGTTACTGGAAACACATGTATATAGTTTTTTTACTCTGCCTTATAATTTTATCAAATAAATCAATAAGCAGC